AATTTAATTCAGTCACAGTAGCATAACATTTTCTTTCAGAGAAACAAAAGTCAGGAAGTAACACTGAGATAACTGAAATACCAGTTTCTTTTCTTATTTACACATCAAAGAATGTCAAAAAGCAAAACTATTTCATTGCTAAAGAGACAGGAAACGTACATGTTTATTTAATGTTTCAATAGAATACTTTGAAATTTTCCATACCTTGTTTTTAGAGTACAAATGAAATGGAAATAGCTTCACGCAGTCAAGGAATAGTTTTCAGAATTTATAATAAGAAGCCCTTTAGAGCAAGAAGAGGAAGTTTGGAATCTATGGATATAGCAATTGTATCACTGCCAGGGACTCCCGCATCAACTCATCCAAATAACTGATCAATAAACTTAAACACCTACTAGATGGCTATGAACAGTCCATCAGCTCACCAATCAAGTGATGTTGTCAAGGTCTTGTCTTAGTGCCCGGAGGCTGTTTGGGTCTGAATGGGGAGAAACACGTTTAAATTCAGCCCTAACATCACTAAGTGGCTTTGGGTGCATGGTTCTTCCTGTACTGGAGAATCTCCATAATTAATTCTGAATGGGGTGGCCATGTAGAATTGGTGCACAATTTGGGGGTCTTCCTGTCTAAAGAGCAGATGGCAGCTGTGGCCAGAAAAGCCTTCTCAAAGATTAATCTGTGTGTTCTTTCCTGAACTGGGAGTTCCTTTTTAAGGTACTTCATAATGACATTGCATGTGGAGTACTACAACATGCTCTACCCAGGTCTGCCCTTGAAGACCACATGGAAGCTACATCTGCTCCAGAATGCAATGGAATGAGCAGTTATGGGCGCACCTTAGGGTGCCCAGGTAACACCTCTGTTATTTGAGCTGCACTGGTTACAGTGAGCTTTTGGGTGCAATTCATGATGTCAGGAATCATCTATAAAATCCTCCATGGCATAGAACCTATATATCTGAGGGATGATCTCTCTCCCATTTCTGCCCACCTCATAAGATTCAACAGTGTGGGTATGCTTCATTAAGCAATCTATCAATTAAGCAATCTCATCTGATGGGACCTAGGAAACATGCCTTCTTGTCAGAGTGAGTGTCCTTTAGAATGGCATTCCATCAGAGGTTCAGACTGCCCCAACTCTACAAGCTTTTAAACGATCTACGAGAATCTGGTTTATTCCTGAACTTCTAGGATAGGTCAGGGAGTGCCCATCTGGCCTGAAATGTCTCTATTAGAGTATATATCAGTGATTCTCAACCTTTTTGAAGCTGCCGCCCCCCTAAGGAGCAGAAAATTTTTCAACACCACCCTTTG